AAGATTAATGTCTATTTTTATGTTTTTCTATATATATTTATTATAAAAAAATATTATTAACCTCTGTTTTTAGGGCATAAATTAAAAAAATCTTAAATTAATTTAAACGTAATTTGAGATAATTTTAAAAAATAAAATTAATTTAAAATTAGATTATTATTTCAAATTAGAGAATAAAATTAATTTGAAATCAAATTAATTCAATTTTGAAAATAAAATAAATAAATAATTCAATCAATTTAATGTTTGAATTCAATTTGAAATTAAAACCAACCTCAAAAATAATAGAAGTAAAAAATAATTTTATAATTAATATCAAATAAATGGCTAATAAAGAGAAAATATATTAGGTATTTTATTAAGTTTAATTAATGAGATTAATTTAAAATCAATTAATTTTAAAAATAAAATCTTTAAAAGAAATATCTACTTTTATTGATAAATGTAAAAATAATTTCAATTAGTTTTAAATATAAAATCTACTAAGATAAAAAAATAATCTTATAATTAATAAAATATATTTGATAATGTTTATTAAGTTAACTAGTTGTATTAACTGGTTTGACCGGTCTAGTCAATTGAACCGAACCTGACAGCTGAGATAGGTCGATCTGGTTGGGTGTAAAAGAGAGGAATAAGTCGGTGAATGAATCGCAAACGAGGAAAAGGAAGGTGGCTTTCCTGTTTCCGCAATTTGGAATCGCTGACTTGGGAAATCTCGGTGGGGGTTGGCCCCATTTTGTACGAAATGGCGCCTCAGTCCATAAGTTCTACGCGGTTGACAATTGATCCCTCGAATGTCTTCCATATCGCAATCTAGTCCCTCCACGTTAAAACTTCTATTTTAAATTTTTTCAATTAAGTACCAAATGAAAATAATCACAATTGATCTCGATTTTTCATTAGACGAATTTTTCTGAGTTAATTTCTCAAATCACAATAAAGCTCAAAATTTCAAATTTTATATTTAAAACTTAAAAAATTGTGAGAAATTAATATTTTTTAAAAAAATTAAGATTTTTTGGAAAAATATCAAATTCAGATAGATAAAAAACTTGGCTATGATAGTTAGAGGAGGACATGAAGCACTAAATGTTGGATAAAGAAGATACATTTTCATAAGTTAATACTTCTTACAATTAATCTATTTTCATTTTTATTATGATAATAAAATTTTGTGGAACATTGAACATCCTTTAAATTTCAACTTTTTTACCAAAGAATGGTGAAACAAGTAGTAGAGTCGGCCAAATCCACTACAAAACTAAGAGCATCATATTAAGATATGATTTCTTGAAAACTATAAGCAAACATGACTTGTAAATGTATGAATGAAAAACAAAATGCCAAGAACTAGCTAAAGGATATTGTTTTCCTTTCTTAAAAGGCAGAAGGTGCAATTCAGCCCCCACATTTCAACTGTTGTGGCATATCAGCTCCTTAACTTAAAAATAGTGCAAATCAGTCCCTCTACTTGACAAAACCCGCAAATTAGTTGTTCTATTGACAATGATATCATAAAACATCAACTTTCTATTTCACTTTTTATTGCCTCATTAATAAAAGGTTATGTGGCTCTGATTGGAATATGACATGGCAAAAATAACACAACATGGTGTTGACTAGGACATGACAAGGTAAGGGTTTCAATTCAATAATATATTTCTTTCTTTCCTTCCTTGATTGAAGCACCATTCCATTACTTGATATATTCTTCCATCTTCATTGACCCACAACCCCACATCCAAACCCAAACTTAAATGATGCTAAAGCTTTTGAAGACTTTCTTGGTGATTCGTTCTCAATTGTTCAACATTTTAATAGCCAAATAGAAACCCAAGACTTCTCTTTCATCTAAATCTACAATCAAGGGTCTACCTACCTGAACAAATAGCAAAATTTCAAGGCAATTGTTGGGTATAAAACATTTTCTACCAAACTAGGACTAGAAGTTGATGGCTGGTCCTTAATGGGTCAAACTCAATTAACTAGTTCCAAGTTCAATGGTTATTCAATAGGGTCATAAGGCATTGATTTGGTGTTCTCTAATTACTCTACTAGAAAAATAGGTGGGATTGTTATGTTTCTAATTACTCTACTAGAAAAATAGGTGGGATTGTTATGTTTATTTGTTTTGGAAGTGTTTGATTGTGTGATATATGCTTTTGATTATTGTGTCTTGGGTGATATAGATTAGGAAAGTTTGAGTCCACTTTTTGTTTTGCACATAAGGTATTTGGTTAATTGTCTAAAAGGATTATGCTATTTTGTATTTTTGATTTGTATTGGGATGTTGCTTCAGCAGTAAAGGGGGATATATAAATCCATAATTTTTTTTTATTTTTTTCCTCTTTTTTTTTTCTAGTTTGTGTTTTCATTAAAAAAAATATATGAATCCATTTTTGAGATATTTTTTAAAAGAAATAAATATTACATGTACTTTTATCCAAATAAAGTTAGGTGAATTTTGGATGACTGGAAATGGAGACTTAATGAGTAGATCACTTAGTGCCAACAAAACCATAAGTTTTGATTTTGATTTTGAGCTTTTTCTTGATTTTGAGCTTTTTCTTAATTTTTATATTTTCATATTTTGAGGGTCTTTTTTAAAAAAAAATTTTGGGTTTAGATTTATCTAAAAAAATATTCAGCTTGAACTTTTGGGAAAAAAGGTAGGTTTGCAATAGGAAGAGATAGAATGTAAAGAAGGAGACAGAAGATAGATGGAAGAAAAGGAAGAAGATGAGGACTCTAGTAATTTTGTAGTTTACATTCACCACATCACCTAGCTAATGCCATATCAGCACCAAGCCATTCCTTGGTAACAAAGTAACAAGGATGTCGACAGAGAGATGGCATTTGATGATGTTATTGTTAATAAAACGGTTGATTTGTGGGTTTTTGTCGAGTAGAGGGGCTAACATATCATTAGATCTGGCAATTTTTTACCCAATCCACTAACCCGCCCGTTATTCGCCCGTTTAAAACGGGTTAGGGTCATATATTTATGACCCGCAACCCGTTAATGACCTGTTAAGAAAACCCGACGGGTAAAGGGTCAAGGGTCAATAACGGGTTGACCCACCAGATTAACGGGTTTGACCCGTTTACCCGTCTAAAAATTAAAAAATTTTAATTTATTATTTATTTATTTTGTTTTTCAATTCCCAATCTCACCTAAATCTTTAATAATTGAGTCATTTTCTCTAATTAGCTAATTGATTCTCTTAACTCACCATCTTCTAGAAGTAAAAATAATCGCACTCCACTTATTACTCACCTCCCGACCTTGCCTATTCTTGTTTGCCGTAATATTCTCTGAGACTCTAACTCTTTAAAGTTCAAACTCTTCTTATATTCTTCAACCTCCATAGTCCATACAGCCTTCGACGTTCAAGCTTCGACTCCACCTTTTCTCTTTAGTCTTTAACATTATCCCAAACTTAGATCTTAGTCTCACCAAGTCACCATCGTATCTACTTAGCCCTTTCTTTCTTTCTCCTTTGAGTTTGACAATTCCTCTCTTTGTCACCAACTTTTCTCTCTAAAG